AACCTTCTACTTTGCAGCGGTGCATTCTACTCTGGCCTATGGATTGTCCGCTTGGGGCAACTCCTGCGGTGTCGAGAGGGTTTTGATATGTCAAAAACGCATTATCCGAACCATGTTCAGGCTTCCTTTCAGGGAATCATGCCGTGAAACCTTTAGAAGGGAAAAAATACCAACTGTCATAAATATCTATATTTTGCAGTGTGCTTGTCGAGTTTTTAAGAAGTCTGGTGGCTGTGCAAGGTTTGGCGACGTTAATTACTACAGAACGCGTAACGCGGATAAATTGTATGTTCCTTTGGCTAGGTTGTCTCAGGTGCGGGATGGTCCTGAAGTTACATCACTGAGAATTTATAATCATCTGCCTGAACGCATTAAGAGCACTACGGGCTTTCAAATTTTTAAGGGGACTCTTAAGGCCATGCTTGCTGAGTGCCCTTTCTACTCCTTGATTGAGTTTTTCAATCATAACTTCATTTAGATTTTTGTAATTTGATTTTGTTTTTTGTGAATGATATTTTACCTTTATTTTATTTATTTGACAATTCCGATACATTGTACCTATATGTCTATGGAAATAAACGATTTGATTTGATTTGATTTGATTCGTCGTATAAATCTTTGTATACGTGCAAATGGTGGACACTTTGAACAGTATTTATGATATGTTTATTTATTTATTTGTATTCATAATTCATTACATTGGCAACTTATTTTTTTTTCTGTAAAATTACAGCGAACTATTTACAATTTTCGCAAAAACCATGAGAGTAATCAAGTTTCATCAAGAGTACCTTTTTTGTAGTAAATAATTTGGTTAATCTAAACCTCATGCCCAAATCTCTTTTCCTTCATTGGCGCAGAAATTCAAGACATGCAATTATTAAAAAACCCTAGACCTCCGCCCATGGACTGTATTATCAATAATTTTGATATCGGTGTTTTTGCCACGTGAAGCTATGCCACCATATCAAATTTTAGCAAAATCGAACAAACTGTTCAAAGTTTATTAAAAAAACTATTTTAAAATTGTCACTTCGGGGCCTATAGCGCCCAAACTAAGCAACTTTGTAATAAAGTAAGTTTGCTTAAATCACCTTATTTTGGTCCAAGGAACATTCGAACAAATGAAAACATTCGCATTTGTAATTCACTGACCACTTTTCATTCCTAAAGGTACTGAATTTTTTTTTTTATTCAAAATAATTTCAATAATTTCGGTGCGGCATCGGACAACAAAAACGGAAATATCTCACAGAAGGCTCACTTAAACGGATTATGACAAGCATACCTTTTTTGTCTGAAAATGTTGACACAATTATTTACTTACCAAAAAAAGTGAAAAATTACACTGAGAAAAAAGTTACGGCCATTTTAAACCATAAGAAGAGCATTGTGAAGCGTCATCTAGCGGCCATAGTTAAAAGGTGTCGATATTCGGGTTTCGCGTCCCAAAAAACCCCTAGGTGCCAATTTTTAGAGCAATCCATCGAGATGTGTTCATAAATTTTGAAAAATTCGATTTTGATTTTTCAACTTTACCACCCTGTATCTCGGAAACGGAGCAATTTCGGACTGAGGTAAGTTGCTTCAAATCGACTTATTTTGACCTTGGGAATATGTGCTATGATTTTGTAAAGACCTTTTAGAGACACCCTGTATTTGTCAATGACATTTCAAAATGTTTTCACTTTTGTGAATTCTTAATGTTTGCGGATGATCTGAAGATTTTTAAGTCCATTAAAACCACTCTAGATGTTTTTGAAATGCAGAAGGATCTGGATAGATTTTGTGCATGGTGCATTGAAAATAATATGTTCATAAACACTGGTAAATGTAAATATATTTGTTTTTCAAGATCTTTGAATGTATCAGTCAATGATTATTATTTGAATAACAATCTGGTTGAAAATGTTGAATTGATTCGTGATTTGGGTATCTTGTTCGATTCCAAGATGTAGTTTGTTAAACACTTTCAATTTTGTAGGAGTAAGGCTTTAAAATTGTTAGGATTTGATTTATTAAGCGCAATACCAAATATTTTTATAATATAAAGGCCTTAGTTACTTTATATACATCGCTAGTAATATCGCAACTTGAAAGTTGCACGGTTGTGTGGTCTTCAAAGAAAATTTTTATGTTATATTGCTTACAAATTAAATATCCCTAGAGATAATATTGTTTATAGAGACTTGGAAATTTTAATTAAATTACAAACATTGGATAAAAGAAGGCGGAATGCAGACATTATGACCCTATATATAGGGTTGTTCATGGTTCTACACCTTTTCCAATTGTAATTCAGAAAGCGGAAAATGTATTTGAGAAAGGGAAATTAAGTTTCAGAAAATGGAAAATGTAATTCAGAATAGGAAGTTATTATTCAGAATATGGAATTTGAAATTCAGAAAAGGAACATAATATTCAGAAATGGGAATTTGTAATTCAGAATAGGAATATGTGATTCAGAAAGGGGAAATTTAATTCCAGAAAATGTAAATTGTAATTCAGATATGCAATTTTGAAAATCAGAAATAGGAAAATGTAATTCAGAATCATGAAATACCTAGGAGTGTTTTTTTTTCCAACTTTTAATCTTGTGTCGCTGAACAAGGGACTGCTACTTGCGTTTATTAAATTATCATTTGTACAGTTTTACATAAAAATGTTCTTTGCGAATCCAAATACAAAAATCGTATTTATACAAATTCAATTTTTATTCAGTTACCTATACGTAAGCAGATAATAACATACCTCTAAAAAAATTACCAAAAAGTATGTTGATAACTTAATTTCCTCAAATGCAATTCAAAATTTCAGTTACTGACCAACTGGCATATCCTTTAATACTAGCGCCACGGCATGGAAGGTGGTTGAGTGTTGGGTGGTTCTCTCACTATCTGTATGTACCTGTGCTCTGCTCTGTATCTCTGTACATAGCTTATCGTGAGGTGCATATTATACTTTTCTGAATTACAAATTCCATTATCTGAAATTAAATTTTCACCGAGATTTTCACCTTCTGAAATACAATTTCCCTTTTCTAAATTATAGTTTACAGTTTCTGAATTTCAATTTACTATTCTGAATTACAATATTGCGTTTCTGAATTTCAACTTCCTAATCTGAATTTCATTTTCCCTATTCTGAAATTAAAGTTACAATTCTCAAATTCAATTTCTCTTTTCTGAATTATAAGTTCCTATTCTGAAATACATGTTCCCTTCTCTGAAATTAAAGTTTTATTTTCTGAATTACAATTGAAAAAGGTGTAGTGATTGCTCGTATATTTTGGCAAAACTTAATTTTCATGTGCCTCCTAGAACTTTGCGTGGACACAAAACTTTTGAAGTCAATCAACATCGTACTCGTTATGGCCAAAATGCGGCAATTGATAGAATGATGAAAAATTTTAATGAATTACAAATGGAGTTACAAGTTGACTTATTTAATGTATCCGAAATGAAACTAAAGAATTGTCTGAAACAACTGTTATATTATAGGTAGATTTTCAAAAAAAGCAAGGAAAAAATGTAAAGATGGGAATCTTAAATTTAGAAGTTGTATAGGTCTTTTTTACATTTTATATTTTGTGTTTTATATTTTATATTTAATACTTTATATTTTATATTTTGTTGGCAGATGTGATAGTCCAATTTGTTTCATGTAGTATATTAAATTGTTTAATTGTTAGAATCAGCTTTAAAGTTGTAAAGTTGTAAAATGGGTTGCCGTTGATAAATAAAATAAAAATAAATAAAAAAATAAAATGTTATATGATGGGCATGGAAAAAGCTGCAAAATTATCTCGGAAGAATTTTTTGAATGTTCGGCTAGTGTACGGGTGTTTCAAATTCGAGCCACATCATTGGGATCTCAGAAACGATGAGAGATACAGGGTTGGTTAAATTAGGGCAAAGTTGCGTAATTTGATGCATAACAAAATGCCGCTTTGATATTTAGGATACTCCGGATACTTACGGAGATATCCGGAAAAAACCGAAATTTTGCAGAATTGTTTTTATTTTTTCCTGACTTTATTTGAAGTGATATTTCAAAAAATAATACCACTTCATCATAGCCACTTTTTCTCTCCTACAAGATGCTTCCATCAAATTTGTAATCTGACGTTTCGTCTTTGATACACAATCATCAACTTAATTTTTTTAAATATGACCCTGGAATTTTTATTTCAGATTTTAGGAGCTTCTGATGCCCCAAAACCTATGACGCATCGCATTTAATCGATTTTTTTTTTTTACTAATCTCCTACCAAAATTCTCTTCTCTGTCTCTCTCTAACAAATTAAGTTTTTATGGAAAGTGCCAATAATATAAATTTTTCGAAAGGGTGCAATAGGTCATTGGTTTTGGGACATCAGAAGCTTATAAAATCTAAAAAAAAATAAGGGTCCGTATTTAAGAAAATGAAGTTGATGATGGTGGCCCAAAGACGAAACCTCAGATTTTAAATTTGATGGTAGCATCCTGTAGGGGAAAAAAGTGACTATGATGAAGTGACTTTTTCTTTTAAATATCTCTTCAAATAACGTCAAGAAACCAACCCTGAATTTCTCACCGTTTCCGAGATCCCAATGATGTGGCTCGAATTTGAAATACCCTGTACTCTTGGAAGAAAATACAGTGTTCGCCACAAGTATGTAAGTGGTTAAAAATCGGTTGGATTAAGAACTAATAATAATGACACAAGAATGATACACTATAGTGCATGAAAGTGAACAGATATTCTTAATAGAAGAAATAATAGCTTCATCGGTTTTCACTACCTATTATTGCCATTGGACATGATTACTTTGAAGCTTCGAAATTATTGAAGCTGCATTGCAGCTATTAATTGGAGATTTGTAGACTATAATCGGCCATAATTTAAGTTCAATTACATACATAAAGGATTGAAATCAACAAAGTTGTGAGGCATTAAAGTTTACCCATTTCTCTTTTGATAGGTTATTATTATTGGCTTGTACCTCGACCATTGCTTACCTTTTCTAAAATAACCCTTTGCCCATACAGGATTCAATGCAATAGTTTCCTTAGCATCATTTAAAGCCAAATAATAATGCTTCAATTTGAGATAAGCAAAAGACCTATTACTGTACAATGTAAAGTTTTGAGGATCTAATTTTATTGCGTAAGTATACTGAAGGGCTGCCTCCTCGAATTTGTTTTCTTTAACTGCCTGATTTCCTAGTTCCTTCAAAGAATCTGCCGTTACCTAAAGAACAAGGTAATTGATGTAATTTAAGTTAACTAAATAATTATTATTGAAATGATTACCTCTTGCTCAGGACTTTCCATTGTACTTAAATATTCTATTGAAAACTTGTTAATTAAATTAAACTATTTATTTATTTTGTATTTTCAAATTAAATTAAAGTTTACTAGTAACTAATTGTTGTCTTTTTCGATAGCTAGAACAGCTGATATTGGTCACTTTTGTTTCAAGGTTAATATAAAAAGGATATCCTATACTACTGAAACAGTATGACGTCATAAGTAGGCTCTCTATAAATGCTACTTGACATCACAAGTTCCTGCATAGTTTTTCTTCACAAGGAATTTTCTCGGAGACTGTAATGGGGTTAAAATAGGCTTTTCTATTTCCCAAATTTGATGTAGATGATTTTGAAATAATGCTCGGTGTCACTAAACTGTATACTTTTTAACAATGGGGGCACAACTATTCTTGTGAGCACGGAATTCTTGCCAAACTCAGATTTTTCTAACTGCGATAAATTCAACTTCCGTATCTCCGAAAAAAGTTTCGAGTATACATACATCTTATGCTTATACCGTTCCCCTAACACTAGCATCGTATGTTTTATCGACAATTTATAGCTTCTTTTATTTAATATTCCATTTAAATCGAAACTGATAGTTGCAGGGGACTTAAACATAGATTATCTGAAACCTGAGGAACATTTAACCATTCTGTTAATTCATCTACTACTCGAAAGTTTCAACCTCCATATGCATATAAAAAATCCAACAAGAACAACTAATTCTACCTCTACCACCATTGATTACCTATATGTTCAAATTTTAATACTGACCTTGAGTGCGATGTGATAGATACGTATATGCAGATCTCTCTGACCACCACGCTATAATGGCTAAACTCCCCTTGAAGTTAAAGCCAATAAGTAAGTAATAACTGCAAGAAACAAGGTAGGTTATTTAGTAAAAGAAACTTCCTAAAATTTAAAAGTAGCTGTAATAGTACTTACTAATTGGCAACTCGTATTTCTAAAATGTGATCCACTACAAGAGTTCCACCTTCTTCTAAGCGGCATCATTAATATAACCTTTCCTTAAGACCACTTTGTGAAAGATTGAACCAAAAATACTGGGTGACACAAGGTCTAAAAACATCTGCAGCCAATCTTCGTTCTCTGAATATATTAAGGAGACACTTTCATGACAATCCATTTATAACTGCCTACTACCTAAGCCTAAGACTTCGTCAAATCTACAAAAAACTCATCAAAACAGCTAAATACCTCTTTTACTCACGTCGACTTAATAATGCCACCAACAAATCTAGGAAAACATGGAATGTTGTAGAAGAAATAACTGGCAAAAATATCTCAAAACCAACTGAAATTGATAATAGAACCGGAAGTACTTAACAACTATTATTGTTCGGTTGCCAGCAATGTCACCAGCACCATTAATTCTGATACTGATCCTATGATTTACCTGGAAGGCTTACGGGTACAGAACTCCTTTGTTTCTTTCCTACAGATATACCTACCTACAAGAAATAAAGACGACTTTGAAAACAATCAAACTGCTCTGCTGGCTCAGACGGCATTTCAACAAAAATACTTCGGGAAGTACTTGACCAAGCCTTTAATGTATTACTATTAGCACAGGTGATAAATAAATCACTTTCTGATGGTTCGTTTCCCACTAGTCTTGAAGAAGCCTTAATCGTTCCCATCCGCAAAAGTGGTGACACAAAAAAATTCATTTAACTACCGCCCCATCTCACTATTGTCTACAATCTCTGAAGTAGTAGAAAAATTACTTAAGACGCGAATGTGGAGTTTTCTGACATTGCATAATGTTTTCAATTCCGCCCAGTTTGGATTTCTGCCAAAAAACGGCACGCATGATGCGATGTTCCGTGTGATCGAAGCGCTTTTCAGGAACTGTAACAATGGATATGCTACTGCGGGAGTGTTCTATGACTTTTCAAAGGCTTTTGATTGCGTGAGTCACAGAATACTACTGGGGATGAAGCTAGAAGCCAATGGTTTACAAGAGTCTAGTCGCAGGAATAAATGAGGATCGCTGCGGTGGGCGGAGAGCTCGTATCGTACCTAATTCGTAATAAGTGCTATCTTTGTGTTGGTATTTTAGAAGAAATAGAGCAAATCAAAACTAACCCAAACTAACCTGTCCTCATGATAATTAATCTTAGAAAAAAATCAAGAAAAAAAAAACAACTCCAACGAGAATCGAACCCGGGTCCATTTGCTCCAAAAACCGTACGTATCCTAACTAGGACACACCATGCCTGTGAAAGTAACCCCAATAGCACAAAAATATTTTTATGATATTAAATAAAAATATTTATTTAATGTTTCATGTGACAGATTTTTATATATTTGATAGATATTTTTTAAATATATTGTCTTTAGATTCAAAAAAAATCCTAACCTAATATATTTTTTAAATATTTTTGGAATATTTTCTTCAAAATATATGTTGAATCAGTTTTTCAAATGTTTGAAGAATATTTCATTTGAATATTATACCTAGATTTTTTAATAACATTAGTTTAATGTTATTTCGAAGCACGAAAAGTTGTTCAGGTAAGGTGCTAATTATGGACCAACTGGTAGAGGTCCTGGTTGTTACCAAGCAGGTGAATTCTATTCTCAAAGAATAGAATTTACCTGCTTGGTAACAACCAGGACCTCTACCAGTTAGTTCATAATTTGGCCCTTAAGCATGGGAACAAATGGATTACCTGAACAACTCTTTGTGCCTCAAACTCTTACTCTGAAATTCAAAATAGGTACATAATTTTGAAAAGATCATCAAATGTGAATCAGCTGACATTTGACCCTTCATTTTGAGGGACAGGCCTGTTGGAATTTAAAATAAAACTTGCAATTTCTTATAAACATATAATTATAAAAAAATTGCAAAATTAAAAATAGGACAAATTTAAATTATGTAAATAGATACATACATATTATACATAAAATATTTTGAAAATGAATACCTATCAAATTGAACTAAAAACAAAATCGGTTATTCTTAAGAACCTATGCGCGACACATAATGCTCGAAACAAAATCCAATAAATATGTACCTACATACAAAAAACCTTATTTTTTCATTATCTAATTATTTCAGTTCAGAAATCTTCTTCTTCTTCCTGCCCTTCGCTATCCTGTGGTTCGTTACTGAAAATTATAATTTAGTTAGTATAGAATTAAGTATTTATTACTTTTAGTTATTGACAAAACTTGAAAGCATTTGTTTTGCTGTATCAATCCATCCTGTTCCTACAAGTTTTGAGTCAAGTAAAATCCTCATAGCAGCATGAAAAAGCAGAAAATGATCATATAAAGGTTTAGGTAGGATATTCTGAAAAACCACAGGCCCTAAATACAACAATATGAGCCTGAATTCAGTTGCCTTAAATCTTAGTAGCTCATCTAATGACCTAGGTTTACGACTAAACTCAAGAGGAACCATGTTAGCACAATATTTCAACCTTTTTGACAATTTAAGTCTGCAATTTACAGAAAGCTTTACTGGTTTTGATAATTTTTGAGGTTTAGTCCAGTATAGAAGTAATTTCCTCATAACTCCCAAACAACACAAGTGCATGTAATCAAGTGCAAAGTCTTTAATAATATCACATTTATTTAAGTTTAACAATGGTGTTGTAGAGGTGTGATGCTTGGCACATATTTTATTTTTAAAATCATCATGGGTTCTTTCGTTGAATGCGGTTTGTGAATAAACCATCCTGCTTTTAAAATATGTACCTTTTTGGTGACATCGGTCACAACCATACGTTCCATTGTGCCCTATTGTACATTTAACGAAAGATCTTGCGGGTGCGTCGCATGTAAAACAAAGCAGATCTACTTTAACTATATTGTTATCAAAAATAATACCGCTCAAAGATAGCTCATTTAATTCTACAACAAACTCTTGAAAATACCTATCTACAGAGCTTGGTTTTGATAAACCACAGAATATTGCAACAGGAAAAGGTGATAATCTATATTTATTGTCATTTACTCTACATAATATTGGCCACAGTTGCTTATTATTGCTCTTAAATATTGGTACACCATCTATATTGAATATTAATTTAAACCCTGATTTTAAAAAGTGAGCTCTCATCTCTGGTATTTTCAAATAAGAGTTTAATGTGTTCCTTATGCCAAAGTAAATAAACTGACCACTACTGAGTGTACTGGCCTCAGTACTGGCATCAGAGGAAAAAACTTTAATATTATTATTAGAAGTTCGATCGGTACCAATAAAGTTCTAGCATCTAGAGGTAAGTTCAATTTAGGCATCAGTGTGCTTAAACCTTTAAGTAGACTGTTTACTTGAGCAAGGTTTACATTTTGTTTGATAGTCCAATCTTTTAAAAACGTGTTTAATCTTTTTGTTAATTTTTTTCCAGAACTTTCTGATTCTGTTTCAGCATTTTTTGTGTCATCCGAATCAGAAAAATTATCAACTACATTTAAATGCTGTATCATGTGCTCGGGAGAATGCTCAATTGAGACATGCATTTCTTTATCAACGCCCATCCTATCTAGGTTATTAGACAAGCTACAACCAGCAATACTATTTTCTTCAGGCAAATCTAAATTACATGGTATATCTGATAAATCTGCAGTCTCAATGCGAAGTTTTTTTCTAAACCTGTATTTAGCACAGTACTCCGCATTTTTGCTAGATTTCTTGTTCTTACTACTCATGTTGAAAAAATATAGAACTCGATATAGAATTTATAGATAGAAATGTAGTTCCCTACCTCCTTATGAAACACAAAATAACTCTCCCTACACCACCAACCACAAAAACACTCCGTTTGCTAACTAAACAAAAACAAAAGACCAACAACCACGAAACCAGGAAACCGTAAAATATTAATTAACTCTAGGCTAGGTACAAAATGCAAAATGCCTACAAAATGGAGTCGTTCGTCGTTCTCGTTCTGTCCACACCGGCGCCCAACCACACAGACGACAGCGCGCGATGCCGTGCAACGTTGCCATTGCCTAGTATCTATATTCCTGCCTTTACAGTTGTTAACTTGGTCTGTAGGTATAGACAACTGGAGCGAATAAGTAAAATATTAATTTGTAATTTATGTTTTCATAAATTATCAGGATTTTTTAACGAAAATCACTAATCAG